TTCGGTCGACATACAGTTTTCTGTATGTCTGAGATGGATTATCCCAGAGCCTTCGTTTCCTTCCCAAGGATCGCAGGCTCGGGGAACGAGATTGGAAATCTGCTAGATTTTTTGCAGATCACGTGACCAGCGTCTACCAGAGTCTTTGCTCTCCAAGAGGAAAGACCCTGGGTACGAGGTTGTGCAATACGTGACATTGAAAAAAATTGCCTCTTAATCTTTTAAAAATATATTATTATAAATCTTTCCTTTCCGACTAGATATATTGATTTAGATTGATTTCTAAAACGTTTAATATTTCAGAAATGCACAGTAAATGCGCCTCTGTTTATGTAATCATCATGCCGACAAAAAAGTACTTCATAGTTCAAACACTAAGTTTAGCAAATCAACACTTCATTGATATGGCATGCATGAATGGGTGTTTGTCCAAAAGCCAGAATCAGCTGACAATTTAGGGAAGTAAACTGTAAAACTATAGCCGAAAATTGAAAATATCTTGTTAATAATTTAATTTATGCACAAAAACAAGACGTAAATTTAAATGGTCGTGTGCCGATCCTATTATTAGGAATTTGAATTAGAAATAACAGGAAATTTAAAACTCATTAGTGAGAGAAAACATTCATGGTATTTGCACAAAGCAGAAAATAGGTTTTGCTACTTTCAACATTTTGAGTACATATTTGCTTTTAATTGACTTGCTTTGTAAACTTTGGTGTCTGAATCCAAGATTCGTTTAAGCATGTATAGACGTATACAAAATATATACAACCATTATACGCACCTAAACGGCCCACTGTACTATCATGCATTAACTTATTATTTGTGATATGCAAACAATATAATTTCAATATGCAAGCCTATAGCAAGTCTCGTCGGGGTTTTTCTGTTCCATTAAAACATATTAACCGTCACGACACGTTTTTATCGAGTCTATCTCGACGACACTGTTGTAACTGGCGTGAACTGTTGCCAGCGTGTCGCGACAAGGCTTTTCTTCATGTTTCCATTTTGTCGCGAACACTGCTCTGATGACAGTTACAACACGTTCGCGACATATATACGGAAACCAGGAAAAAAGACCCGTTCAACTTCATCCAACATTACTGCATGGCCTCCTTTGAACACAATGTGCATGGGTGATGTTGGATGATATTGGATGATGTTGCATTGGGTTTGGCGTTGTTATAATATTTTTATGCAGCATTGTCCAACAATGGTTGGATCAACAATGTTGGACGATATTGCACTCATTAGAACGGGGCGTATAAAACTTATATACAGTATAACTACATAATTTGTAATAGTCGTGCTAGAGAAAGCTAATTCTTTGTTTAGACATTTATTTTCATGCAGGGGGTTTGTGTGACGTCACATGCTTATACCTATGATAACATTATGATTTTAATGAGTTTCGTGTTCACTTCAGAAAACTTCGGAAATTGCAGACAGAAACAACCAATTTTCAGGTTCAAATTATTAATCTTTTAAAAATAGATTAGTATAAATCTTTCCTGCCCGATTAGATATATTAATTTAGATTCGTTTCTAAAACAATTAATTATTCTTAAATGCACAGTAAATGCGCCACTGTTTATGTAATCATGCCGACAGAAAAGTACTTCAAAGTTCACCTATTTACACACACTTCATTGACATGACATGCAGGAATGGGTGTTTGTCGAAAAGCCAGCACCTGCTGATAAATTAAGGAAATAAAGTGTAAAACTCTAGAACTGAAAATTGAAAACATCTTGTAACGAGACGTAAGTTTAGATGGTCATATTAAACATATGTCAATCCTACAGTATTGATATATTATAGCATTTTGATTGGGAATAACAGGCAGCCCCACCTGTGGCCGGGAGAAATCATTCATGATATTTGCACAATAGATTTTGCTACTTTTAAATATATTATAAATATGGAGTACATGCTTTGCTTTGTAAACGGTTTGGTGTCTGAATCTGAGATTAATT